GTGGTGGGATGCTCATTAAATCCGTTTGCTACGCTGTGGGTTTTCGTTGGCATGTTCGTGTCGCACAGTCTTTACTGTAAGGTAAGCAGATAAATGGAAATCGCAAAATAATAGAATGAAACCTTACATGTTGTGCACCGTACACCGTGCAACGGTCATTCGACAGTGCGGCAGCCCTTGTACCCTTAACCTTTGTTTGTGGGTTGGAGTCTTTGTTAAGGACTACTTAGCACCATTTGCCATTAGGCTGAAGTGTTTTGTCGTTTCATTCATGAGCTGGGTTCTTGCTGTTGTTTTTAGCATTTTTCGAACAAATGAAGGGGAGGTGGGTAATCAAGTACACGAATATAAGTCTAGACATTGTTGTCATAAGTAAGTACAGTGCATTGTGAGTGCTGCTTGCATGCAATTGTGTGGTGTTGCAGGCTTTAAGTGATTTTTTCAAAGGTGGGCGATAAAGTATGGACGCCTACATTTCAGCATGTGTACACGTACGGTTACATGTAGTAGACACGCATATTTCTAGGTCCTTGTTTTTGCTGATTTGGGGGGAAGGAATCCCAATACATTTGGAGTAAACCAATATGTACGAAGCATCGTTTTACTGTCACAATTACAGTAGAATTGCATGTACATATTGCATGTACAATTTTAATGAAACAGGCTATACTGACCCAAACAAATATTCACCTCATTTCTTCATATACTTACAGCCTGATTCAATAAGAAGATTGAAAGGTTTTTTCGCTTACATTCGGAAAGAAATCAATTTAGGGTTCTCTAACTGTATTCGTCAAATGCATGTCTTAGTATTCTCTTCCTATCAAGAACAGGATAAAAACTCAAAACGCAATGATAGAATCGTGACGTATATTTTGGTTCGAATAAAAATATTTTTTGTTTTCTGATTCTTTAAACAATAAATTTTGGCAGTCAATGTAGACTATAGCTGATCTTACCGGTTAACCTTATTAATATTTTTTGGGTAGACCATTGGCCTGTTCCCGCACTGCAATAATCTACTAATTTTTACTACTTTTTTTCGATGTCATAAAGGAAAACTTAACATTTAAAAAAAATGTCAACATCAACATAGTTTTGAATCTATAATTTTTTGTGGCAAAAGATACCTAAAATTCATGTCATACACTTCTCTTAATAAAATGCTAACTTTTAAAAAATATTTTAATGTTTATAGAAAATAACATTTAAAAAACATACAAATACTGATACATTTTTTGACAATTTTTCAAGCTAAAATATTTGATTGTATTTGTGTATTTTTTTTCTTTCTCTTTCGATTCTTATGCATAGCACATATTTGAAAAAGTTAAAAAAGTTAAGTTTTATAGTTTGTTGCAGAAACCCAATCTGATTCGAATTAGAGTGACTACAATTCGTTCGAAGGGACTTTCGATCGTCTTAGTGAAACAGGCTGTAGATTTCCAAACATATTTTAGTTTTGTCAATAGGCAACCATCTCTCAAATGCGGTTGTCTTTAATATATTTGCGATATTTAGCGTCTGTATGTACTCATATAGCATATTTGGACAAACGTTTGTGCAATTGTGATTCGATGTATTGTAACAGATAACTAATGTGCACTGTATCACTAGTACATATGAACATACATATATACATATAGGACTGATTTCATATTGCCAGTGGTGGAATTGTATAGTGATGGTAATATGCACAACAGAGCTTTTGCATAAATGTTCCTTCATAACTTCAACCAATGCCACCTCCGTCTCCACGGTCATTATTGTCATCACTTTGCCTCGTATTCGTACGAATTACTATTTATGAATGCAAATAAGGCGCACAGCACAAAACTCTAAACGCTCTGTGTCTCCTCGATTCTGGGCATACGTTTCGTGTGTCCCTGTTAGCTTAGATAGAACTTCTCAAGAAGTCATTCAACTTTTCAGGGTTACAGACTTCGCCTTCGGCACGTCGCCAAGGCATTGAAGAAGAGACGCTAAGAAATCGAAGAAGAACACCAAGTGTATGAAAAACATGTGTTAACTCGCTGCCTGCAAATATGAATGACTCTTGACAGATCTCTTCACTGCAAGTCGTAAACATTTCAAAGGATTCCATTTCTTAAAATGCATGTGCAAAGCGTCATTCGTATGCGGATCAACCTCCTGTTTAGTATACAGAAATGAATGAATGTCATGGGCGATAGAAATGTATATCCAACACACGGAATGGCAAAGGAAACGGAACAACTTCCGTTAAAAACGTTTTGAAGAATTCTAACTTATTTAGGTATGTAGTGGTAGATGATGAGGTTGGAATTGTTTAGAACCCATTTAAATAAAAATAAACTGTAAATTGCAATGTTGTAATCATGTTGGATGGGACATATCAATCAACATTTTGAAAACATTTTGCAAATTTTCACTATCGCATATTGCGACCACTTTCGATTGTAGTTTAGTCAAGCCATACAAGTCTTATTTAAAAATACCAATTTATGGGAAGTAATTTGATTTTGATAAGAAACACTTTGCGTACACGCTAAAATTGAAGAAGTTTATTAGGGACCTGAACAATATCACAAGCAATGCATTTTAGGTCCTTTTAGTTTTTAAGACATATACAATCCACGAAGGAAATAAATACACACAGCTACATTGTTACATTGATATAACAAAATCCCTACACTATTTACAATTTGGATGTAATCAGTTCAAACGTTTCCGAAATTGCTAGAGGAATTTTGTACTGAAATAGTCCCTCTTAAGTTAATTTGAATATTTAGAATATGAAAATTAATACAAATGCGACGTTCTGCTAGTGGTATGTATGCAAGCCATATGCTATTGTTGCGTTCAAAATAGTGTGTAACGATTTAACTTTGAGAATAATATGAATATTCATATTTTTGAGAATTTCCCATTAAATTACTATGGATATGGTAAGAAGAAGAAACAATGCAAAATTTCCTTCTTTGGCACTTTGTTTCGAATGTAATCGCTCATAGCGACTGATGTCAGTCGAGATGTTCGTTTCTTTGTGAGTGAATAAATCACAACATTTTATAGGTGCATTCCAAAGACTTTAATCATCGCAGGCGCACAGTGCACTTTTTCGATGTGGCCATGTGTCGGTGGTGGTGGTGGTGTTGGTAGTGGTGGATAACTCCGACTTTACGGCGTGTCAGTAAAGAAAACCTGAAAACAAAGCATGTATATGTATGCATATGCTTCCCGATTACCGATTCAAAGGGATCTGCGTTAGCTATTTACTGCCGTTGCTTTGTTTTATTTATATTGTTTTAACAAAACAATAAACACACAAGTTGGTCTTAAAGTTATTCGTCCCCCTGGCAACCCACACAAGCTGCTCTCTCTTCCCTCTAAATGCGCTGGTACAAGTTGTTGCTGTTTTTGTTAACGCTGGCCGACTACATTGTGCTTGGCTTGTAACACTGGATTATGGATCGTGTCTAAGAGGCGCCAGTTGTATCCATCTTCAATCGGGTATTGGTGCCTGCCGTTGGCGGTCTGGGCGGAGGGTGGTGGTCTTATTGGAATTCCAAAGTTCAATGTAATCGAATGGTGTGGTGGTGGTGCATGTTAAATTGCAATTGCCCACACTCTGCGCATATATTTTGCCCCGATCGACACAGGCATTCGTCCAATTAATAATGAAACAAATTTCTTTGTTGTTGCCTTACCACATCTAGGAGGGAGTGCGAGTTAGGGAATGAGTGGTGATCCGATTCGATCTACACGTGCTCCCACCACCAAAACACAACCAACTGGAACCGAGTAAGACAGACGAACGCACACACGGGTCCACATTAATTTCCAGCACAAGTGTGAGGCTGGCGAAGTGAAGATGGTCACAATGCCACGACATATTTTCACATTCATCCCAGAACTGTCATGCATGCATCTCGTTGCCATAACCACACCGATCTTCTGAGAAAAGCTATTTTTAGTTCGCTTACACTCAACAACAAATGCATTCCAGACCGTTGTATCGGTGGGAGATTTTCCTTTCATCTGGTCTGTAAAAATATTCTGGAATTCGTACTGAAGTGTGTGTTTGTGTTGAAGAACTGAACAGTGCTGAGTACATCTTTGAAGTATTCGCGGAAGCAACATTAAAATCTTCCTCCAGAACAAGAAGAAAAGAAACATTTTATATAAAAAAATGAAAGCAAAACGTTCTGCTCAATCTCCAATCATGGATGATGAACGAATTTATGCTTTGGTCCATGCCATGCCAACGGTATGTGTGTGTGTGAAAATTTGGGTTAAAGTACTTTTGGAAAGGCGGGAGGTCAAAATACTTGAGTCGATGAATAATATACAAATGTGAGGCTGTTGTGGGAAATCCATTTGCCTTGATCGCCATGCAGCCCGTAAATGTGTTTTGTCGCATTCCTCAAGCGTGGCCATCACCAATGGCCACATTAATTTTATAATTTCACAATAATAAATAATGCAAGCGAATTTCTAATTTGTTTTGATCCATGGGTCTCTATTCACTCGTTTATTGACGATCTCATATAAAGAAATTAGTTTTGAAAAAGTAAAATTTTGGATCTATGGTTGTGATTTCGAGAACTATAAATAAACCACGGTTTCTGATACAATTTTTGAGATTTTCAAGGTTTGATATTCAAAAAGACACACTTTTTTCTATTTAGGAGTAGGAATTTTCAACAGCAGACAAAATCGAAATTCTTAACATTCAAAATGATTTATAGAATAATTTTGAAGAAATCTTTGTCAAAAACCAACGTAAGAACTCTCTGTTTCCAGTGGGACATCCCTTAATATAAGGCATGCAAATATTATTCTTTAGTCTAATATTATTCTTTTATATATAATATACTTTAATATTTTGGAGAATTTTACAATTATAACGTTCGGCTCTTTGTCTACTGATGTATTTCAAATCGCATAATACCTTGATAACCTACATATATATATATATATATATATAATTTTTGTGTTTTTCGTTCTTTTCTTTACAGGCAGTTCAACCGATTTGGCACCATCCCTATTGTGTATTTATGATAAACTGACCACAGTGCTAGATAATACATCTGCAGCAGCGTCAACTAAACCACCATCAACACCGAATAAATTACCCAAATCCGACTGTGATAATCACTACAATAATTCAACTCTACAGATTAAGGAGCAGCATCAAACACCAACAGAATCGTATCTAAGTAAACTCCAGAGTTATGCTAAAAGGGCTGAACTCAAAACAGCCGGTCACAGTGATAACGATAATCTGTCGCAAATCTCTCGCACTCCGTCGAACAGCGGCAGCAGCAATAGCAGTATAAGAGGGTCTCTGGAATCGGTTGCATCGACGAGTAGCACCCTCAGTAAACATCGCACCAACATACGCGTTCTATCACCAAATGTCCAGAGGATTATCACCCATGCCGATGCGGAAGCAATCGACGCTGTGGACATTGAGGCTCTGCAGAACACACCAAAGCTGGATACTAATGCTCAACAGCGCTTGTATAAGAAGACATCGACTCCCCATTCTACACAACACAAATTGAAATTTTCTCACCTGCCACTGTCGAAAACCACAGGAAAATTGGCACAGACCGGGACAGATTTGGTTGATACGTATAACGGTAATGGTGTAAAGGACGAGGATGATGATGTAGAACCCGTTCGTAGATCTGAAGTCAAAGCTGTGCATGGTCTGAGAAAACCACCAACACCTGCCATAGTTCCCATTCCCGGGGTGGATGACGATCGGACACCAACCAACGCATCACAATTTGTGTTTGATCCCACGCACGGTGAAACTTTGCATAGCAATCGCACATTTAGTCTGCCACAAAGGCGCTACGAAGAAGAGTGCCTGGCTAATGAGTCCACACTCGATGAGATAGTCTCCAATATGTCTTTAGAGTACATCGGTGTAGGGGAGCACACAGTAGACACAAGTATTAACTCGGACGTAGATACGAAAATTCAAACAAATCTCAATTTTAGTGACACCAGTAATGGGCCAGTCGATTCAGAAGATATTCTACTTGTTGATGCCATCAACAAGCCAGTGATCTCAAAATATACCACTCGTACCGCGGCAACGCGACCCCTCACATATGCCCGTTCAAAAAGTTTGGCTGCCCGCGATTTTGCCCAGAAAAATATTGAAGTGAAGAAGACGGCTTCGCGATCAATGATATTGCCCGATTTGGAGCCGGACGAAAGCCAGATTTCAGCCGAAAGTTTAGACCGTCTTACCGACATCAAGTGCAAATTCTCTCCCAAGGAATCGAGAAAAGTACCGGGCCTTCTTCTGCCCGATATAGCCAAACTGAAACATCGTCCATTGTCATCATCATCGATATGTTCCACGACGTCATCGAGTTCTAGCTCCAGTTCGGGCGCCGAGCACATGAATGGCAAATTCAATACGTCTTACCTAGCAAGTGTGGAGAGTTTGGCCGACCACAGTGAAAACGAATTGACGGAAACACATTCCGGAATGTCGGTGTTTGAGAGAGCCTGCATGGAAATTGTCGACTCAGAGAGAAACTATGTCAACGACTTGGGAGAAATTATAAATGGGTATGTGCGCTCACTGTGTTTTTCGTTACAACGATGGAGTAAGTGACATTTTTTTCTTGCAGATATCTCTTGGATTGGAAGGAGCGTGCCTGTTTGCGCCCAAACGAACTACATGTATTGTTTTCGAATATTGAAGATGTTTACCACTTCAATCAGTATTTGCTCAAACACCTATCGGATGCCATTTTGAATCCAGTTAAGATTGCCAAATGTTTTATCGATCTGAAAGATGGATTTGATGTGTACACCACCTATTGGTAAGCCACGCTGAATTATGATCCTTTCGGATTCGAGTAAACATGTTGCGTTATTTAAAATTACAGCACAAGCTATCCCGAAGCCATTTCCTTGCTAACCAAATTGCTACAAGCCACACATACCAATGCCTTACTGGCATCTACGCAACGAATGCTGCATCATACTCTGCCCTTAGGATCGTATCTGCTCAAGCCTGTACAAAGAATCTTAAAATACCATTTGCTATTGGATGTAAGTTGTTAGTGTGGATACGGAACAGGGCTTCTGCTCAGGAACATTATTTTTGTATCATTTTAGAATTTGAGAAAACACTGCGACATCAAAGAGGTAATGCAAGCCTATGAAATAATGCGTCAGGTGGCACGCAATATTGATCAAGTAAAGAGGAAGTTGGAACAGCAAACAAGAGTAAAGGAGCTTTCTGGCATTTTAGATGGATGGATGGGACCAGGTAATTTACCCGACCAGTTTTGCTGTGTAATATCAACATGTATTAAATAACAATATCATATATCGCCTTTTAGAGCTTACTGTCCTGGGCGAATTACGCTTGGAGGGCGTACTTATGGAAAATAATAAGCCAAGGAAAGTTTTACTTTTCGCCACCATGTTAATAATAGCCAAAGCCAAAGAGGACAATCGTTTGCAATTCAAAAGTTACATACACGTAAGTAGCGCCAGTCCCGCCCATTGACGAAGACTAGGTTAGAAATAAGGAAAGCCACTGAAATTGAAAATCCACAACACCGACGTATTCATTTCCAAAATAAAATAAACATACCGAATAAAAAACTAACGCTTATCTCTCCACTTCTAGCAAAATAATCTCATGCTGAGCGAACACTTGGCCGGCGAACCTACAAGCTTTTATGTAATACCATACGATGAACCGCGCAACCAAATCAAGCTAACAGCTAAAAATCGTGACCAGAAACGCCTGTGGACACAACACATTAAAAGTGTCATACTCGAAAAGTTCGACAACATTCCACTACGCGCCAAGGAACTGGTCTACCAATTGGGCGATGAAGAAGGTATGTCGTCAATTTCAATCACACCTTGACTCTGTCACGAGTTACTCCTTCAGTTGCTGTCTTTTTTATACACGTTATACACATACATATGTTGTTGTTGTTGAGTTGTGATTATATTTGTAATGTATTTATCTTTTATCTGTAACTATTGAGGGAAGCTGGATTATAATGGACTTGGTTGTTAGAGTAATGAACTTTTTCGCAATAATTGTTTGTACGTACATTCATACAAGATTCTGCTGAATGAATCACATTTTTGTAAAGAAAAAGACACCCTCCCTTCTACACTATCTTCTTAATATAGTCCCAAATTTCATAATGAATGTGTAGCCTTGGACATTTATCAACAAATAATTTGAATTAAAAAATACATGTAAGAAAACTAGGTCCATTATCATCCCTACTTCTCAAGGGAATTTTTATAGATCAGTTATTCTAATGAAAAATGGGAAAGCTAGTCGAACTCTGCTAAGGACTATTGGAAATTAACTTATTTTTTATTTGAATATTTGGCTAACCAGACACTGTTTTCTTTCAATTTTAGTGATGTAAAGTTTTGTATAGATAAAATGTACAAAATCAATCTGTAGATCGATGAAATGGGTGAAGCTAAAATTTTACCAATCGTAAAAACAAATTAATATACAAAAATATACAAAATCAACCACACCAAATTAGGGTTAGTACTGCTAGTCTAAATCTGCTATACATCTGAATGCACCTTTCGCACCCTAATCCATCACCAAAGACATCTGTACTTTGTTAAGCGATAGAATCAAGTCATTGCAGGTGTCTGCAGTGTCTTGACAATATCTCCCAACTCAGATACCCACAATTTGGTACAGCCGCACATTCGCATGGTTGTAGGCACATTTGTCGCTCCATTGTAACATTGGCTTTATTAGTATTTTAAGTTGTTACTAAAATCACCCGCCCTTTTAGAATTATTATTTGACATGCTTCGGTTTATTGCAGATCATTCATCCGATAAAAGTCCTTGGAAGTGGGGCCTACATTCCACATCTACTCCCACATATTTAGAACGTCGCAATCAGTTTCGCCGCAGCGAAATGCGTAACCGTTCCAAGGTGAAGAGGAAAACCATCACAAATGCCACATCCATCGAAGTCTTCAATGAGACCGCCAACAAGGAGTCCCACAACTTCCTCAAGTCCATTTCGAAAAGTGCTGAAAGTATAAACGATAAGTCGCTAGCCTCCATGGGAGCAGAGGTCGAAGATATGGTGAGACTACGTGATGATGTTTGCAAAAATTCAAAATGTGTTAAAAATGACAAATGCTCCTGTCCATTTGACGAAATGAATGGGACAAAAGATAGTAGGGCAAAGTCAGCACGTCAGGCGAGTAAATCATTCAGATTCGGCGGTGGAAAACCTTTAAAAGAACGTAGTAAGTCTGTACCTCGTATTAGCATAGAAACGGGAAGCTTGGAAAAAATTGATCAAGACACCACGAAAGATAAAACGACAAATACTACCGGTGCAGTAGTGACGAGTTGTAAAACCCTGCCGAAACGTATGTCGTCCACGCTGAGAAAACAAAAATCCAAAACAAAGGAGACATCGACATTCTACATGGCTTTAAGTGAGTTTGAAGAATCGAACAACACTGTATTGAAAATTACCGAATCTTCAGAAAATATTTTAAACCACAACGAACATAAGGAGTCGGATAACCCTAAAACTCAACAACAGCAAAAACAATTACCTGATGTCATCCAGAAGACTGAGGAATCATCACATGCTCTTGAACCAAATTTGCCCGGATCACAAACCCTAACACCATCTGAAAAAGCCAGACAGGATGCTCAAATAGTATTGGATCTACTCAAGAATAGCAAAGAGTTTGACAAACTCTACTCGAAGTTGCAGAAGAAACGATCATTTGATAAGAATGGTACTTCTCCCAAAATTTCCGATGTAAAATGGACTAAAGAGGCTTTAGAAGTACCACCAAGACCTCCTTCACGATCACCACCTCCCTTAGAGACCGAAGTAGACTGTCTGGAGTTCAAGCCGTTGAATCAACAAACCCAAGAAGAACCTATCTATGAAACTCTTCTAAGAAATGTCCATGTTCCATATAAGTTCTCCCCCATAATGTCGCGATCGAAATCAGTGCAATACAATAACACCAACAACATAAATAACAATTTAAATATTCGCAGCAGTAGCCCGAAACAGGAACGAAAATCACCCCCAAGACCAGAATCGGACTATGTAACATTAGTGTACACTGCCGATGGAGTACTAAAACATGTTGATGATGCCGATGATGATGACGAAATTCCTCCTCCGCTGCCTCCCAAAGATGTAGTGCTGTCATCACCAACCTCTCCGTCGTCCTCATCATCATCTACTGTCACCCTCAAAAGAGATAGCATTGATTCGCAAAATCTTGCAGAAAACAATCTCAATGATTTACCCCAACAAATGAGTGCCAGCTTCCATGGGACATCAGATTTTAATCAAACACGACCACAAACGGCCAAAAGTATCCTCAAACGTCTATGGAGTCATTCCACCTTGGCTGTTCAGGATTCGTCATCCAATGCAACCTTATGTCGCTCGGTAAGCAGTCTGGAGCGGAGAGGTTCGGCAGAGTTTGAAAGGGAACGCCATTCAGTTTTACATCTGCCAGGCAGTGAGACCATAGGTGAACGGATGGCCCATGTTGACTATGCCGACCCACGTACGCTATTCTCAATGATAAAATGCGATCAAAACAAACAATTACAACGTGATTCCGTTTTTTCACTGACCTCATCCAACGACAGTGTTTGTGAGTCGAAGACAGCCGCTGATTGCAAATCCCAGTCCCAGTTCAACAAGAATAGCTTTGCCTACGAGGACAGCGTGGAGGCAAGTTTAGAGACGGATTTTCGAGACTCGGCTGTGTATAGTGATGACAATGATCGCCGAAATGATAAAAATCTTTCACAATCAATGCGAATATCACAGAACCCCCCGGTCAAGCCGAAACCCGTAAATGTGCCACCCTCCCCTCTAGAAAAATCACCCCTTAAACGATCGATGTCGATAACAGATCAAACATTGCCCATAACAAATTATCGAGGTCCGGGTGTTATCATGTGTCCGCCAGATCTGAGCCCATCCAGTACCCGAAGTTGGGTTCTTCAGCAGATTGATAATTTCAATAAGTGAATGTAAACCACAGTAAAAGTTTTAGACTAGAGTTGCCATACAAAACTATATACATATATAGAAAATACCTAAATAGTTTCAAATATGCATGCATTCGTAACTCACACTCACTTTCTTTCACAGAATCATTCATCATTATCCAAAGACTACGGCTTTGAGCAAAAACAAATGCCATTAGATTTATCTAGTTTAGAAAATAATTCCATCTTATGTAATAAAGTAGCACTAAATGTTGACGACCTGCATACACGCAAAAACCACAAAACACAAGATTTGCTGTTTGTTAGTGTGTATGTGTGCGTATGTATCTGAATTGATAATTGTAAGTTGCATTATTATTGAAATGTTTAAAACGACCCCACTAATAACTTATTACATTCTATGCACCAGCATTAGCAATACACTCGTCCACTGCAGATCGTATTTATATTGTTTTTATATTAATTTAAGATATAGCGAATTTTGTAATTGTAATGAAAAAATAAATATGAAATGAAATGAAATAAATTACAAAATGGTATGTATGACTAAATTTATTTTTAAACAAAAAGTATATAGGGCATTGCATAGTGGTGCAAGTACAAACGTTAACGCCTAAAAGTATGCTCATATTATTTTATGTACTGACATCATACAAATATTGGGAGAAGACAAAAACATCAGTATAGCACCATCTATTGAAATAAATGTTGTGGAAAATGAAAATATCTTTAAATGTCAAATTCAGTTACTTTTGTACATAACGGAATTCGGAATTCTCTAAACACCCGAAATATCAAATTACACCCACTCTCTTGAGGTTGGATCTTTCAATATGCCGAGACCTTCCGACGCTATATCACTTGAAGTTTGTTCATAAATCATTAGCTTTTTAAGGCCACATTTTTAGTGTTTAGTGAAAACATAATTGATATTTTATAAAAATAACCCGACAAGTGTTTCCCATCTTAACTGAAAATCACAGGTATTTTATGTTCTTCATAACTTTTCAATGTGCAATGATAGAGAATTAATTCAAATGGGTATGTATAGCTTAGAGTTGCTTCAGGTAAACCCCAACACTTGAATTTAACGTAAATAGTCTGCTTTGCAACGAACAGCAAGAAATTAAAAATAGTGCCGAGGAAAACTATTGAAAACTTTAATACTACATTTCATATTCAGAAATAAAAATGATTGTTATTTTACAGGAAAGTATGAAGTTGTATCTTTCATATGAAACCAATTATATTGTAATATCTGCAATACGAAATAAGTTATGGCAAAAATAAATGAGATTTAAATGATCGATTTTAGATCTAGGATTGCCAAGATTCGGCAATTTAGATTATTTATAACTTTAGAATGCGTACTTACCCACTTTGCTGGCTTTAGACAAAACATTTATTCCATAAGCCGGGCTTAAAAAGATTTCCAGTCGCGTTGGTCTTCGCAGCTCTTCCAGTCTCGGGAACTTATATATGCTTTAACTACTGAAATAATGCAAATGCATATTAAGAGCTTATTGGTTTTACACCAGATGTTTCTTTGGGGCAAATCCGTTTTAAACAATTTGAAGTTAATTTACAAATGTCCGTCCATCTGTCTGGCCGGCTGTTGCGCACCATAACTTTTGAAGGGAGCAACGTATTTCATTCCACTATTTGCTCTTATACTGCATATTGGAAGACCAAAAAGTGACTTGGACACATAAGTAGTCTGGGATATGTACCATTGACCACTGCAAATTATGTTATTAGCCTGTATCGAGTGACTGCGGCCAATACACTCTCATATATCGATCACAGTGTAAGTGAAAGCCATTCACAAGGCCACATTCGATCGGTAGACAGTAGCAGATAATTTTAGAAATGTTTTGCATACCAGCGGTTACATCTTGTCCCTCACGTTGACATAGTCTACAAAAAAAAAATGAAAAATATATTGATTAGAATATAAATGATGACTTGCAAAATACCAAAATATTGCCAACTAGCAAATCTTTAAAAAAACGATCTTACATATATTTTTTTCTATTTGAACGAGTGGTAATTTATTTAAATAATGCTATTTTAAAGGGTTATCTATTTCGTGGTTTCAAAGGTATGGGAAGGGAATTCGACATCTGTCGAACTATGTTGTTAAACCATTTTTTTCTTTTAAGGGGACACCCATTCTCGGTGTCAAAAATGTTTTTGATCTAATTCGATTTTAACATAGCTTATGGTAAAAAATAGGCGATTTTCCAAAAAAAAAAAAAAAAAAAATCAAAGTTCCGCCACTTTCTTAATTGTTGTGTGAAGTCAATAATCAGAGCCAGACATGTCCTCTTACTAAAACCGTTGGAATTTTCGGATTCCGATGTTCCAGTGAAAATTTAATCGAAAATATGGACTTCTCTTTGAACCCAAAAAACAACAACAACAAATTTTGGTAAATTATTTTTCTTCCTTTTTAAATCTTCAAATATATATGTGCCAAGTTACAAACCTTAACAAGCATTGGTATTCATTTACCAGCACATTTAAAATCTAAAAAATAAAAAATCGAGAATGGGGGTTCCCTTAAATTGAATATCTTACATTGACAGAAATCGATCACTTAATTATCTCACAGCGCATAACAATTAGCAATGTCTGCTACAAAAATCGTGATTCTTTCACAGACACATATCATGTTTTAAGAGAAGATTTTGGTTTACATAAGTTGCAAGTAATTGAAGAGAGTTGCCATTCTTCCAAAAATACACTGTTTGGCGACCTTGGACCTTCTTCGAAAACGACGATTGAACGACTGCCGCCGTCTATTCGAAACGTTAGGGTCATACGATATATCTAGAATTTTCTTAAAATTGGGCTTCAGTAATAGACAAACAGCAAGAAGCGTTATTTCGTTCTTTATGTCAAACAGTTACTAAACGCCCCAAGTCATGTAATGCTACATACATACATGCATGATTGTGTGCAATTATATATTTGCATCAAATGCGCCTTTCTCATCTAACAAATACTCATTCCACACGTAACGTTTATCCACTACATACCCAAATGTATGTGCAGTGTTTGTACACCATGGACGATATCTCGTCGTAAGAGTTGTTGATTGGATTTCAGTAACGTCTGAATGCCTCATACAATCAAGCTGGATTTTAATGAACATATTGATGAAATCCAATCTCGAACACCGAACATTCATTATGTTTTATTGTTTTTGTTTGGAGAGGATCATTCCTGATACTACAACACTTCCTACACGAACAACAAGCCTGAATGGTAAAATGTCAGATATGCAAAAATAAACAAACAAAAAGCTGCATGTTTTGCATTAGACAATTGTGGTCATTCCGCAACTCAACAGCTTGGCCAGATATTATGATGATGACGACGGACGGTTCCTGTTGACACTGACAACATTTATCCACGGCATTTCAAAGCGATTCGTGTGTTATTAACAAAACTTGGTAATTTGTTAGTTCAATTAATTTGCAGCATTTGCTTCTTATCGCACATCATTGATAATTATTACACACGTTTGAGATTCGATTCAACAGCAAACAAAAATCGATTGGTGCCAATTACGTAGCTTTTAAGTGATGCAATTAAAAAAACACGTTCGAAGGCGCCCTATATCTTTGCGCTCGGGAAGATGCCATTAGAAATAAGAAACTCACGATTTAAGAATAGAACAGGGATTCGAATAAAGGAAAAAATTATAAAGAAAAAATTTCGCTCAGCGACTTTAAAACCATATATAAGCAGGATATAATTACAGTTTCATTTTTATGCACATTTGTAAATCGATCGTAAATCGTGTTTATTTGACATGAAATATATTCTGCATAAACTAATTGCAACTCCAGAATATTTTGTAAGGGAAATATTCTGTAATATTGGTAATGGTTTTGTGTGAAAAAAAATATATCAAAGGATTTTTTATATTCCGTAGTAAAGCAAAGACATTTTACATACATAAAAATATGGTATTAAAAACAAAACATACTCATACTTAAATACATTGGCAATGGATAAAACTATGTTTAGCTTTATTCCACTATAAATATTGTACAAATATGTTTTATAACATTATATAATATACATTATAATATATACAATATTAATTCTTATTAAAAAACAGCACTACAACACCCATAATTTGAAATCATCACATCTGTCATTGGCTTTATTAACTCTGACCAAAGCAAACTATTATTGCTGTGTGTGAATCACAAGCAACTGAAGTGACCATGATATCTCATACGCACAGTTAGTCAGCAGCCGATCATTTGAGAGTCAAATACAATGGGTTTTTTTCAAAAATAAACATCTTTAGCTATAGATGTCAAGTTAATTGCCGGTACAATACAGAGTTTTGACAATTTTGAAGGTTCCTTAGCAAAAAAAAAAAAAAAACAATATATCTTCGTTGAACTCGGACAAACCCGCAGTGTCTGAAAAACAAATATTCATTTGCCGTAACAGCGACTATGACCCAAAGTCATGTCAATATACCAAACAACATGAGGTTACATACGAATCGCAAATAATTTCCGCATGTAAAAACGTGTTCCCAAAAAAGAAGTAAAGCTTCTCCATGAATCCAATTCAATACCCTCTCTCATCTCGTTGATCGTATATTTACCAAAACACAGACAACAAAACAAATGCTAAAATGCATAAATAAGCATAAAGCTAGTAACGATGCAAATGTAAACCAGCTACCAGAAAATGTTGTCAATGCTTCTGATGATGGCTACTGTCGAGGGAATCATGGCTCGGTGCATGTAACCAACAACGGCAAGACACCATCGTTCAGCTATCCAGCCAAGTAAACAAATAGACAAACGAAGCACCGTAATATTGACCATTGATTTGCGCTGTGCTGTTTGGGTCTTGCTTGAATGAATCCACACAAATGCTTCCAATGTAATCTTAATTACCACATTTGACCAGTGTGATGACCGTGGCGACATTATGCATCCATCTACGAGCTTGAGTATTACTGTAATTATGGCTTGGCTTTTT